GGAACAGTAAATAAATTAAATTAAATCATTTCCTCCTTCACGATTCGCTCGATTCCTTCTCCACCGTCGTTCGACCTTTTCTTCGAATTCCACCTACTCACAACCCTCTCCTCGACATTATAATCATCCAAACGCGAAATAGAAAGCCCGTCATTATTCCCTTTCGTTCTCGTCCTCACGTGTAGGACCAACAAAGTTTTTACCACCCCACCACACAACCGGAGGGTGCAAAGTAAATCCGACCAAGAATTAACCGCTCGTTTTTACTTTCACCCTCTTTATCTGACAAAACAATAACCGCGTACTCAGCGTGAACTAGGGATGGATGGTGCCGGTAAGCAACAAAGTCAACTCCGTACTGAGAATCCGATTTGACCAACCAATTTTTCATTCGGAGGTGAGAATACGCTTTGAACACAACCGGGAGATTAGAGTTGTTGGGCATCAAGTGACACCATAATTCCTCGTCATTTGCAGATTTATTTTCTCTCACGAGTAATTTCATGCATTTCATAACAGAGCTCAAGTAGAGGGCTTCCTCTAGACTTGGTTGGAACCACTGCTTATCCTTATCTTTTTCTGCAGTAATAATGGGCCGGCCGAAGCACGTTCGGATGAGAAGTTCGGTTTGGTGCGCGTTGAGGTTTTAAGTCGTGCGATAGTGGAGGACATGGGTCCGCAAGCGCTTTTGCTTCGGCTGTTCTTTGTTTCCAAATTCGCGGCATGTTCTGCTTCACTAAAAAAAAAATTACTGCACAGTATCTTTATCCAATCTTATTAGTCAGATCCTTTACATATTTCACTATTTAAAATATGAACAACTCTTATGCCACCATTTTATTCAAAAAGAAAACTATTCGTCTGCATCCACAATGAATCTTGAAGCCTCATAAAGAAGCCGCTTATCAAAAAATCATTTTATTGGGCCATTAAATAATATAAAATACTAGGCCGACAAGTCAAAACGGGCGGGTGGAGCGAGACGGCAAGCAGCTCGCCAAAACCCATATGTTGGAGGGCCCGGCCGGGGCGACAATGGGCCTATAAAAGGGCAGCCCAGAAAACCCTATTGCGGGCTACTCTAGGCATGACTATCTCCAAATTATAGAAAAATAAAACCAAACTGGCATTTTGAACTATGTTGTTGTACACTTGTACTCTATTTGAAAAATTGCTGATAATTAGGCTATTCTAGGTAAGACTATCTCCAACTGAAAAACTCATTATCAAACTCATTTTGCAGTAATTGTTACATTAAACCGTAATTCTTCTACACCCATTAAACTCATTCTCAAACCCCAAAAGAATATTCTCAGTATTTTTTTTCTTGTCAACTTCTCAATACTACCCACATATCTAATCAATTTATAAATTGGACCCTACTACTATTCAATATTCGATGGATAAAAAGGTTAAAAAATTAATTATCAATCATTATTCGTACACATAAAAAAATTGAAATAAATATTTATTAAAATGTGCATGTCATTAAATTTATTTTTCTTATATCAATGTCAAAAAAAATTAAAAATATTATATATTAGATATGAGAGTATGTAGTTTTACAATTTTGTTACTTAGAATTTATTTATTTTATAGCTACAATAGAAAAATAAACTTAAAAATCACAAATAAATAAATATTTTAAACAAATATTTCGAACACTAGTTTTTTACACGTTTATATAAACAAAATTAACGACTGAAAATTATACTGCTAGACAACCAAAAAATATATTTCGTGATGAATAGACAAATATATTTTGTGACTTATTTTATATAAACAAAATTAACGACTGAAAATTATACTGCTAGACAACCAAAAAATATATTTCGTGACTGAATAGACAAATATATTTTGTGACTTATTTTTTAATCGTAAAAGAAAGTCATAAATAAAGATTCGGTGATAAATATATTGAATAGACAAATATACATATTTTTTTATTTAAAAAAATGAAAGTCATACATAAATATTTTTTTTATTACTACATATATGTTTTACGATTTCTTTTAATGTAGAAGCTTTTATAGTCTATATATGTATATAATTGTAGGCTATTAAATTAATGCATTTCGCGTTAATTTTTTCATTTAATTTGGAAACTATCATTGCATTTTGCATTAATTAAATATAATAATTTTTTTCCCTCTCTTTCATCATACAATAATTTCTACTAATTATAAATTCACTATAAAGTTTATAAAAGTTACACATTAATAAAAAAAAATTATAGTAAAACTTTTTATTTAAGCTATTTATATAATATGAATACTATCTTTTTACATTTTTTTTCTCATTCTTTTAGGTAACTAATTGGTTTTAGTGACATAACAAACCCTTTAAAATCACATAAAAATTGCAATAATAATAATAATAATTTAATAATTTTCAACTAATTAATTTGTCACAAATGCAATATATATTCATGTATAAATAAATATTTTATAATTATATTGTTCATTTTTACTAATTATCAAATTTATTAAATTTGATATGCATATTATGTAACCTATAATTTTAAATATAACATCAATACATATGCTTATAATATTTTATATTAACATAGGTGCATTTGCACATGATTAACTTCTAGTTGTAATTACATGCATGACATATAAACTAAATTTTGATTATCAAAAATAAATAAATGAAATATAGATTATATGATAATATAAATGAACTAAAACCTAAAAGCAATGTAATATTTGAAAATTCATAAATAAAAGAGCCAAACCGCAATTCAAACAATATTTTGTGCTTCCCCACCCATTGGACTATTGGAGCAATTTGGAGTTGCTCTCGAAGTAGTTTTTCAAAAAACAGAAAGAATCAATGCCAAATGTTTCTTATGAAATCTAGAAAAGGTCTAGTGGCACCTTTGAAGAAAAAGGGAAAAAGTATCTGAAATAACTGTAATTTTGTATTCGGTTCATTTATGTCTAATGATCCTTTTCAAAGAACTTTCTACAAATTCTGAATAATTAAATTGAAGTTTGTCTCCTAATTATATGGGTACAGCGTCAGATCTGAAGTCAAGGATTTCAAATTCGTAGATTTCAGATACAACACAGCGTATGAAAAAAAATCAAAAGTCAAGGATTTGCTATCAATACCTTAGTATCTCTCTACAATTTCTCCTGGGCCTATGCGCCAGAAGATCCCGCCGGAGCCATGCCGTGTCTCTCCCTCTCCGTCGCCGCCTCGACGGGTCTCTCTCTCTCTGTCCCGTCGCCGCCTCGCCGTCGCCGGTTCTCTCACTCTCTGTTTCCCCCTCGTCGTTGTCGGGTTCGTCCGGCTGACTGGGTTGGGGAGATGGATTCTGTTAGAAATATGGAAAATGAGATTTTTAGAATTTGTCTTATAAACTTTTTTTTTAAAAAATTTGCCTCTCGAAAACTAATCATTTGGCTCCTCGATTGAAAATCTTAATATGGCACAAATTTTTTTTAACAATTAACGATAAATTTTAAATTGATATTTAAAATTAACTTAGGGTTTTTAAAGAGACGATGAGGTATAGTTTGTCGAGTTTTGAAAATTGATACTTCTGTAATCGATCGACGAAAATAGTAAGAGCACGTATGGATAGAAAAAATTTCAATTCAAGTTTTCTCATAGTTAAGATATCCGAGTTTCGATTAGGAGGTGTCATTTGAAAGCTTGATTCCAAGCCAATTATGTTTTCAAAATTCTTATCCGAACCTAAATACAAAGCAAGATATTTTGAATTCTAAAGCGTGCGAGTCTGCCACTTAGACTCAAGACGATTTGAATTAATATATAGGGAGATAATAAGAAACTAGTACAACACCCGTTTACTACACAAGTATTGAATTAAGAAATATTTACATCAAAATATTTAAAGATAAACATAGAAATTTTATTTTAATTTTTTGAATGTCATCGCCATTATTTTACGTGATGTATAATCTCCTCACCCACTCAAATAAAAAAGAATGATATAAATGGTCCATTTTATACATAGTAGTATAAAAATATTAAGATGTGTGAATAAAATTATTTATGGCAGTAAATAAATAATTCACTTCAACATAACGTTTTGTTAAAAACATGTGGAATGTGGCTAACAAAATAGAAACGAAAATATATAGCTAAACAAATTAAGGAATAATATAAATGATTACAAGATGAAAGGAAAATCTGTCCACCAAATTAGAATTTGGAAGATATGGTTTGCCATTTCCCATAAACCATAAATAAAATGGATTTGTCACACTCGAGAATTAAAGTTCATATATACAATTTACTTTGTACTGTAAACTTAAATTTCATTTTGTATACAATTTTATTTTGTCCAACAAATTGATTTGTCATACTCGAGAATTAAATTTCATGTATACAATTCATGTTGATTAATAAACTTAAATTTCATCTCGTATACGTAAGAGAGATTATTTCATTTTGTATATATAAGAAAAAATTCATTTTCCACTCCAATTGTATTAATATTGATTAATATTCAATTTATGGGAGACAATAAATTTATGGTAATGAAAGAGAAATTTATAGGATATTGATTAAGAACACATTTATGGGAGGCAATAAATTTATGATAATGAAAGATAAATTTATAAGATAAGATGAAATAACTATTTATGGTCCATTCCAAGCCAATTATGTTTTTGAAATTTTTATCTGAACCTAAATACAAAGCAAGATATTTTGAATTCTAAAGCGTGCGAGTCTGCCACTTAGAGCACTCACAATGCTTTGGGTCTCTTTTGCATATGTGGCAAATAAATAGACTTTAGTTTGTAATGACATGGACAAACCCAAACTAAAAAGTCCAAAATTTATCCAATGCAAAAAAAAAAGTACTAGGTCTAGAATACCTAACAACCAATAATAAATGATTGCTATTGAGCATCCACAATGTTTTGGGTTCAATCACAAAAAATTGTATGCCACCTAAGAAATAGACCTAGTCTAGAAAAATGTATATTATAATGCAAACAATAATAGACTAGGTCCTGCTGATATGACAGCCAGAAAAGAGACCCGGTCTACCTTTAAGTCTATTTTAGACTCAAGTAGAGACCTAGTCTCTTTGCATTGAAGTGAATTTTATCAATTTTACATAGTTTTATCCATGTCATCTAAGACTTGGGTTTATTTATATACCACATAAGCAAGACTAGACCCAATGCATTGTAGATGCTCTTAGGTTCACACTTGGGTCCAAAATAGACCCAAGAGTGGACTTGGTCTCTTTTTTTTATTGCCACATAAGCTAGAGTATGTCCACTTTTAATTGCATTGTGAAACACTTTTGATAGACTAGGTCTATTACCTACCTGACATGTGATTTTTTTTAAAGAGACCCAAAGCATTGTGGGTGCTCTTAGGCTCAGTACGTTTTGAATTAATATATAGGGGATGATATTAAAATATAATGAATAGACCCAAAGTGATCATAAATAAATCAACATATTTATGGTAATTCGCACCTAATTATTTTTAGATTGAAATTAAATTAAAATTTATTCAAGCCAAATAATGAAGTATGGAATTTTGACACCTATGATCTCGAAACATGCGAGTCTTCCACTTAGGCTCAGCATATTCGAGAATTATATATAGGGAGATTTTTAAGATAGTGGAATTAGGTTAAAGTTTAATGAATTTTGAGTTTTAATTGAGTTTATAAACAATCATATCCAAATGTAAAAAAAATGATTTATCCTAAATAATAATAATAATAAAAACAAAAAATAATAAAAATAAAAAAGCAGCCAGTCACAGTGGGTTGAAAATTGAAATCAATCGTCAATCTCACAAAATAGAGGATAAGGGCACGCGTCTTCTTTGTTATCTCCTCTCCGTGAGACCAAAAACCCCAGCCATGGCGTCCACCTTCCTTCACCAGGTACCCCTTTCCTTACGTGCAACTCTGCATACACCATTACTCATATTCTCAACAGCATTTTCGGTTTTTTTCTTTAATTTTTATTGATATCGTCTGCGCAGGCGTTGTTCATGCTCCCGAAGATTGCAGCTCAATCCCAGCCGACGAACCTTGCCTTCTCCGCCGCCGTACCACGTACGATGCCCTACTCCGGGGCGTTGGTTTCTAGGGTTCCAGCCACCTCGTACGGATTCGGTTTATGCCAAAGGGGTGAAAAGTGCTCTTTCATCGTTAGAGCTGAAGCAGCAGATGCCGATGTCGAAGAAAGCGAAGCCAATGCGGAAAGTGTTGGGGAGGATGAAGAGGAGGCTGACGTTCTATCACCTCGGAAACCAAGAATCAAACTTGGAGAAATTATGGGGGTAATGTAATCAGCCAGAACTTTTTACCATTTTTTGCTACCATAAATCGGCTGGGATAGAATTGTAGTTATTGATGTGCAAGAGCTCGGATTTTTGTTGTTATGAAACAGATATTGAATAAACGAGCAATTGAAGCTTCGGACAAGGAAAGACCTACACCGGATCTCCGATCTGGTGATATTCTGGAAATCAAACTGGTGTGCTGTTTATTCGTTTGTTTACCCGTATTTCAATACAGTCACATATTTATGCTTGCCTGCATTTTGTGTACTATTTGAGTAAACACTGTTGTGTGTGTGTGTGTGCTCTACAGGAAGTACCTGGGAACAAGCGCCGGTTGGCTGTATATAAAGGAATAGTCATATCGAAGCAAAATGCTGGCATCCACACTACGATTCGTATTAGGCGTATCATTGCTGGAGTTGGTGTTGAGATTGTGTTCCCTGTGTAAGTTTGTCACTTTTGAGAAGGTTTAGGACTTTAGGTATATATGATCATATTTCATTGTTTTGGGTTAAATGTGGTAACCAAAGCGTATGTGGGAATATATCGCAGTTTGTGCTTCTTTATCATTTGAATAAATTGCTTGATTGCTTGGTAAGTAATGAATAATCCCTATACGGCTATACCACGGTAACCAGGATTTGTTAGGGATATGTTAAAGAAATTTCTGAAGGAGGAATTTGGTGATTAGGGAGCCATATGAATCAGGAATGTTGGAAATTATGGAAATCGGCTCTGATTATGATATTTCGAATGGAACAAAACAGCTTTCTTACCATGGAAGTTCGGTGTTCAGTGGACCAATGTAGATGTTGGGAATCATAAAATTGATTCTGATTATTTATGTTAATCATGAGTTTGCCTTTTCATTTCTTTGGTTTTGTGGTTATGGTTTTCTTCATCAGCATCCCGTATTTGAGGTATTTAACTCTTGATCTTAACATCGACAGCTCAAAGCCATGAACCGACATGTAATGTTCTGATATGTAGAAACATCATCATGCACTTCATAATGTCTCCATGTTGTCATCTTATTGTGTCGAACACTTCATCTGTAGTTTTTAGATGGAATGGAAATGCTTCACCGTGTTCATCTGCATTTCGAAATGTTATCGTTTATAATATTCCTTTTAGTGCCAATTAAAGGAAACCATAATCAGTGTCTTATATCACTGGGAAAAAAAAAAATAAAAATAAAAAAAAGAAAGAAGAATGGAACATTTGGCAAATATCAAAGTTTGACAAACTAATGTCTGTGGTCCAGATTCGTGCATGCATTTTTACTACCCTTTCTGAAGATGAGTTCTAGTACATTCAAGCATATCTTTAGGCACAAATAAGTTCTAGTACATTCAAGCATATCTTTAGGCACAAATAAGTTCTTGTACATTATAACATACCAAATTCATATTTTTTACTGTATCGTGTATCAAGATTCTGTCTTTTGAACTTCAATTTCTTCCTTTCATGTTTGTTTTGATATACAGATACTCGCCACTTATTAAAGAGATTAAAGTGGTGAGCCACCGGAAGGTCCGTAGAGCCAGGTTGTACTATCTGCGAGACAAGCTTCCAAGGTTCTCATTTTTCAAATGAAAGGCATTTGGACTGCTAATGTTTGTCCTGGGTAACCTTAGATCTCAATTTTCCTCGAAATCTCGATCCCTTTGTTTGTGAGTTGTAATTACGTGAACGAATTGAGGATCTTATTTTCAGATATTGAATTTTCATGTGACGAACTAGCTCCATGAACATTTTCTGCTTATGTACTAGTTTTTTGTATATCGACTTTGTTGACACCCTTAGGTTACATTTGGCTACATTGATCTTATTGGTTGCATAAGAATTCCTCAAGAGAAATACAAGTACTCATTTTCCCTTTTGATTTTATCTATAGATAATCTGCTACAGAATCTTTGTTGGACTAAGTGGGATAGATAAGATTAACTGAGGCTTAGTTGGAAATTAGTTCTTGATACTGGCTATTAAGGTCGTTTTTATTAGGGTTTGTTAACGATCCGAATGTCTGTGAATAAAAGTTCATTCTCGTTTACTAGTTGAATGAACACGAGCTTATCTGATAATATTCCCGATCATTAATTTTATATAATTTTATTTTACATTTGTATTTATATGTATGATATATTCAATAAAAATCTAAAATATGGAAATATTTTTTATTTTACTTCTTATTTTTGAGCTCAAATCAGTTTGGACATCGAAAATGTCTCAAGTTAATCAAACAATTTTAAAAAGTTTGTTTCCTAAATTATTCAAACATAAATAAATTTGAACTTTGACAAATAATTTGAACAAGATTTTCCTCGAAAAATAGAAGAACGATTACAGACATCATTCGAATTAACCGAACACGAAATTGAAATGGACAAGTTTGGCTCGTCAGATTACAGCAGTAACTTTTTTACTGCACAAGATCTGTTCTGTTTGATGTAGTAAAATGCAAGAGTGGATAAACACAAGTGTGACAAATTTCGTCATCTTTTGAGAAAATATTACCCCGATATCTTTCACTTTACTAAAGCACCACCCTTCCTCCTTTAACTGACTAACTGAGCCGCTGTGCTCCACTGTAACAGCACATAATGGAAAATGCATTCAAAAGAAGTTAATTAAGATATATAATATTCTTGATTATTTAATTTAGGGGATAATTTTACTTGCTATTCGATTCACTTTTGTCCAAACATGGAGTGTTTAATTAGTAGTGATATTTTAATGTCTTTTAATGGAATAGTACTAAAAGCATTCTGGGTATGGGGTGCAATTTTCTGTTTTAACCGAAATATCCCAGTGCTACTATATAAATTTCGATTTTTTTTTTACTTGTTGGTTTGGTTAATAGTTATTAATTTTAAAATTTAGTCATTTTAATTCGGTTTCAGTTTTAGTTTTACTTTGAGAATAACTGAATTAACCTAACCAATCGAATTACACACACATATTAATTTTTAGTGAAAATATTAAACATTAAATAACTAATTTTGAAAAAAATCAAATATATCTAATTATATTGTAAATTATAGTACACTTTGATCGACCAAATTAGTCTGTCATTTCAGATCAGTTAATGATAAATTCAGTGAATTCGATTTTATGAATTTGGTCTGTTTGGTTGATCGAATTTTCGGATGCAGACCCTAATTTGAAGATTTGCTTATGGAAGATTAAAAGGGCAATTCATAGTTCATTGTAAGTTTTTTAAAAATAATAACGTTAAATTAATAAATTAACAATAATAATTCATAAGAGTAATCTTCAATTTTTTTTCCCTAAAACAATTCGCTATAGCCTATACAAAATCATTGTAATGGACAAATTTAGCCCACGGTCCAGTTCAAAACAACACTAGAAACACAATAAACGTAACAAATATATACCAAAAAAATGGAGCGATTATAATTAAGAAATTTATAATTAGAAAAGCGACAAAAAAAAATAAAAAAATGAACAATATATTTTCGGTTCTTCCCTTCTTTCACACTCGAAGTCGATATTAAAACCCTAATTGGCATAAAAAATTCAAATTCAGCTACTATACGCCTCCCAATACACAGAAAAAACCAGCAGGAAGGTTTTAAGCAATGATGAGAGGAACTAAGCGTTCGGCAATCTCAGAACCTTCTCCCGTTTTCAATTCTAACGACACCTTCGTAAGTGTGTGTGTGCGCGCGTGTCCGATTGATTTTTTTTTTTTTTTTTTTTTTANTTTTTTTTTTTTTTTTTTTTTCTCCTCAATGTTGTGTTGAAGGTTATGTTCCTGTGCAGACGCAGAGCAAGAGAGCAGTAATGGGGTCTCAATTTGATGCCGACAAGGCAGAACCATCTATTCGGCAGCAGCCACTGGATGCGCAGAGAGCTGAATCATCAAGACGGCATGTGAGAGCTCTCAATACTCAGTTTGCGAGGTCTCTCACTGCTTACATACATTTTCACTCATTTTTTTTAAACTATTATTGCTTGTAGTACTAATTTTTCTAGTTATTTGAGGTCTTGAGTTGGCTGTAGTGATTGTGTGGTTCGTCGTGGGGTGGACTGCAGAACTTTTGGTTCAAATTACTGAACTGTTGCCATGAGTTTTGTGTAATGCTTGTACTTTGTGTTGACCTCAGCTTATCTTAGATGGATGAAATTGATTGTAGCAGGGTGGAGTTGCCGACATTGAAATTTTGTGTGCTGGGTTGAGCTCAGTAATTTGACACTGTCATGCTTAAGTTGTCAAAACGTTTTCTGTTCCTAAGATCGTGTCTTTATGTTTAACTGGAATGCTGTTTGCAGTACCACAAGTTTGAAAGTCGTATACTGTGAAATCTGAGGTTTATTTGTATTTGTTCATGTTCTTTTGCTTGCTTTCGCTACTATGTTAGGAATTTTGTGAGTACTGTGATTTATCCACGCCTGAGTTGTGTTGTAGTAGTGTAGTGGACTTCTGCTATTTCCTTTTCTGACATGGTTTAGATTTGCTTGGTAATGTTGTGAACTCTTACATGATCAGTTGGTTACAAAGTCAACTACAAAACCATCCAGATGAGCTTTGGGAGGATGGAGTGCAGGATTACTTAAATCATGCTAAAAGCATCATGGTAATTTCTCAGAATCTGCAATTTTAGTCACTATCTCTAAGTCATCTAGTGCACCATTCGGCTGTGATGAGTCATCCTGAGGGGTCATTTCTATAGTTTTTAATTATTATATGGGAATATTTTTGTGATTACAAGGATGTAGACCTGACATTATTTGGTGAACTTTTTTGTTTATGTAAGTAATTAGCAATCTCATTATCCTTCGTTATCAAATGATTGATTATGTAAGAGGTATCTAATGCTTTCTAGTGGAAGTGCGAAGGTCTACCATATGTAGTGGCTTGAGCGAAATCTCTCTCCCTCTCTCTCTCTCTCATCCTCTGTATCCAACCTCTATCTAGGAGCACACGTTTCGATTAATAAATTAATCATCATAATTTTTGGCATCCCTTTCACTGATACATCACAGTGAGTGAGGAGACAAATTTTGAGGACTTAAATTTTAAGTACAAAAGTAACTTTCTGTAAACTACAGTTAGTGTACTGACTTGGTGTCTTCAATTGTAGGAGAAGTTTAGTGATGTTGTTAATTGGTTGAGAACAAATGCCGTGGAAGGAGGGGGTATAGCCAAGGTTCCATCTGAAGATGCTCAGACTAAGCCTCTATTCGGAATTGACAAAAGCAGTCATACATTGTTTCCAGACAAACCTGGTCCGACATTGTTTTCGGACAAACCTATGTTTCCTGCAGCCACAACAGCAAGCTCTGGAACCCCATGGAGACCTGCACTTCTCTTTAATAATAATAATACCCCTTTCACATTTGGAGGTATTATTTCAATATAATTGATGGAATGTTTACATATTCATTATAAGATTTGATAAATGTGTTTGCAAGTTATTCAAGTATGAATATGTTCCCAATTAGAATATTTACAGAGTAGCTACTATAGTCGCTCTAATCCATAATATCTTAAGTCTCTTTTATTATCATTAGTTCCACAACAGATTGGATTCCCATATATGGGTGATTTAACAATACTTTTCCCATTCAATAAAAGAATACCATTCTGGTTTTTTCTAACAATACATGATGTTAGGTCATTTAAGAGTGTACTTAAATTCTATACTTTGGTTTTCTTTACCCTCCATAATTGACGACGTGATTGGAAACTGTGATCATCTCGCTTAATTTTGGATAATGCTCATGGTCTCCAGGAAGCCAGGTTTCAGTTCCTGGAATTGGAACTGCCAATGCTTTTACCTCAAATCATGACACTTCAAATGAACCTGATGGAGGTAAGGGGTGATAAGGTCTTTACAATTAAATGATCGTCAATAAGATATTAATTCTCTGGTTAATCTTCACGGCTTATGTCGTTTGTCTCTTTATCATCTGTATTTTAAGGTTTGAATGCTTGTTGCGTTTTTTTATCCTGTTATCATTTGCTTGCATTTTCCAATGAAATTAATTCAAGAGCTCAATGCACCGATAAAAAAAAAAATTCAAGAGCTCAATGCCTATGTCCACAATACAAAATCCTCCTAGAATGTCCTCAAATTTTGTGTTTAGGATGGGGATTTTTTGTAGAATGTCCCAAAAAATTGAAGTAGTTCACCAATCTTAACAAGGATTTATTTAACGTGCCTTAATACTGGTTAGACTTTGATTCATATCTTTTTTGCTTGTCGCAATTGATATTACCAAGACTACATAGGAATATCATATACAAAACCCAATAAAGATAGAGTACTGGCAACCAAATGTCTTAAATTACATCTTAGCCCAAGTTGATATGTTATCCAATGGGGGGATAGCCAGAAAAGTTGATCGGTTGGTCTTAGTTCATCATCTGCCAATTGTTACTTTGTAAATGATACTAGCCTGGAATTAGAACCCTTTACTCTCATATATATATATAATGTTATAGATAATATTTCTTGTATTCATAACCTTTATTTATGTCACCCATATCTATTAGATTTTTAGCTTTTGAGTATTAAACTTTCCATAGCTTCTTGTAATTCTTCCGGAATCATCGGTAAATTGGCAAGCTTATATATTCACAGTTGTCTCATATTTTCCAGTGTGATTAGCAGCAGACTAAATGTAAAGGTTCTCACTCTTGTTTGAATGCATATTCTCATTACAGTGGGTATAGTGACACTTGCTTCCTTACTAATATTTGTAAGATGTATGGGTAGAAGGTTTGTGTCGGATATTTTGATTGCTGTAGTGAGACTTTTTTTTTTCTTATGTCAATGCCTTGATGAACAGAAGATGATATTGAACAGCCCAGTAGTCCATCTGTGAAAAAGAACCAAGAGGAGGGTATTATTGTTGTGCATGAAGTAAAATGCAAACTTTATGTGAAGGTAAGTATGTGTTAAAATTAACTATATGATTGAAGGGATATATGAGTAGGAAGTTTCCCATTTCTTCTGATTTGTCTAAAGTGTAACTTCATTCTTCAATTAGGATT